ATTACCTCATATTGGGAATAGACCTATTTCAAATAGGTCTATATATGAAAGGTAATTTGGGATTTAATACTAATTATTTGCTCTGTAATAATAAATACATTTAGCTCTCTTTTTAAATCAGTTTTAATATTTTATATTACTAGGATCCACTTGGATTAGATACCAACAGATTCATTAATTTTATCATATATATATATATATATATATATATATATATATATATATATATATATATATATATATATCTCACATTGAGTACTGGTGTTAGTAAATAGTGCACGGTGTAGAATAAGAGAGCTATAAATTATATATCAATAATAAATTTTCCTTGCTGAGATATATATCATGACCATTATAGGACGATTGAATCTTGAATCGTCTCTACAGTTTTATTTATGAGTTAGTCTATATTGTTTTTACCTAGCCAGTGGATGTAAGAGGTTTTCTTTTAGACGCAGCTGTTCTTTTAAGAATGACAAACCAACATCTGAGTTTGACGGATAGTATTATCCGATATATATATATATATGTATATATATATATATGTAAAGCGTGCGACTTTGTAAAATCAAAGAAAGTGATTGTTGTCTTCGCTTGCTATGTACTCAACATAATGGCATCTCGCACGGGTTTCTTTTAGTGTGCAAATCTGTAGAATGGTATAGATATAAGCATTAAAAACAAGACTATTCAATCTAATGATGGGGTCGCAAGCAGATATTTGGTCTTTTCGGAACATTACCCAAGTCTCGTCTGAAAATAAACAGTCTTAAGATTTCAGAACTGGTTTACCTATGTCCCAATATCAATTATTTGTCAAGTTTAGATCGTTTGATTGGTTTGGTTTGGTTTATTTTGTTTTACTGCATATTAAACTCAGTGGCTTATTTAATGCCGGCAAAATTTTATTGCAGCTAATTTTTTTTTTCTTTCAAAACTGTATTGTTGTTAATATTTTTTTTCTTCAAAAAATGTCAAACTGGTAATATTTTTCTCTTCAAAAATCTATACTATTTCTCTATACTTATCACTATATGGGTTACTATTCGAGCGAGTATTATCAAGCAGGTACTATTAGTGTGAGTGCTATTCGAAGGCGTCTGACACTAGTATTGTTCAATGCCGTACTAGATTTGTAGCACAAAAGCTCTACTACAATGAGTATTTGTTAGCATCACCAAAATGTCAATCGAGTGTTCATTGACATCACAAATATTCCCAAATATTAAAACATCTTTAAACTACAAAATGCAGGTAAATTGTTCTCGGCAAGGTGCCATGAGTTTTTTTTCATAACTCAATTGATCATTTAATTTAATTTGACTGGAAGGTGGTATTTTAATCCCTAAAAGTCACTGACTTTAGCTATTTTTAGCCATGTTAGCCTAAGGTAATTTTCTTTATTAGAAAACCTTTCAATAATAAAATATACTTTCCTGAAAGTTTATTTGATGAATATTACTTGATTTAAAATTTAATTAATCTAATTTGAACAAATTTTACTTACCTTTTACTTGTAATGCATTTTTATTGTTTTTATTTAAGGTATTGATATATTTATGGACAGTATGGAAGTTTATTGATAACCGAAAATTTAACAATTTTTTCTACGGGGTACATATCTGTAAAGATTAAGTGAGGAATATAAAGTGAGCGCATTTTTTATATGATTTTAGCTACCCAGTAATCTTAAAAATATAGGTAAATATTCTCCGTAATGTAATGTTTTATGGAATTTTAGGTACTTTGCTTTTAAATTTACTATAGTTAATGCTCTTATTTTCTGATAATGTTGTCTATGGACATCTGTATTTACAAAAATAGGTACGCTTATACATACACACAAAAGAAATTCAAAATTCTTTTTAAAATACTGAGGGTCGCTGAATTGTAATATACTTTTCCAATTATAATTGGTAAATATCGTTTTTACTTAATAACATCAGCTAACCCGTACAAAATTTTAAAAGATTTAAAACTTTATAAATGGTTCTAATTAAAATGTTAAAAAATGAAGACAGTTCATGTAAAAATTCATTATTCATCGAAATGATATTCTTAAGACAATAGTGTTCACAATGCGCGGCATAAAAACTGAGTGTGGATGTCTTGTCAAAAGATTTTTTTTAAAAATAGCTTCTTTTTAATTTATTAAAAGAATAATAAAGTAATTAGTGAATTTTTATTTTTTGTTAGTAATTAAAACTTGAATATATAAAATGTAAGATTTTACAAATGATTTAAAAAACAAATCTTCAGTATTTTGAACAAAATTTGGCTTCATTTACATATTATTCCTAAAAGCAATTAAATGCTTTTCTAATTAAAGTAACGTTTTAGTTTTATTGGATTTTTTATTTTATTTTACGATTCACAGATTTTCTTTAATTGAAGGTCCTGTTTTAAAAAAAATCAATTGCTGATTTAAATTCTCCAGGGAGTTCTACGCATCATAATTATAAACATTAAGCCGTATAAAAAAAAAGAACTGGAAATTTTATAAAATTAAATAAGTAGGGGATAACAAATGTGAAAAAAAAGTAATTTTTTACTAAAATTTTCTTTAAAAGAAACATTTCTAAAATAATTTCATCCATTCGTGAATAAGTCTTGAAAGTTTACTTAAAATCCTACAATTATTTGATTTTTGAAAGAATTTCCAAATCAATATTTTAAAAAGGATGAAAAAATGTAATTTAATAATCAAAAATTCGTTTCGGCTTTTGTCGATAATACTTTGGGGTATTTTTCATCATGTATGATTATTTTTAGCAAATCTTTGGAGGTACCTATATATATATATATATATATATATATATATAAAATGAAATAGTGAAAATATTTTAAAGTTGTAGTTAAAATTGTAGTACATTAAAATGAATTCTAACCTAAACTTTTTTTAAATAGTAATTAAATAAATAAACTTTACTAAATCAGAGAAATGAAAATTTTTCTTTAGTAATATTTAAATATAATTTTTTTTTAAATCGTAATATACTTGATGTGATAATAATTCTACAAACTGTAAGGGATTCTAATTACATTTAATTGTTCTTGAAAGAAATATAGTATATTAAAAATTAAAAGTAAAAATATTTCAAATCGTAGTTAAATAAAAAGTATTCTTACCTAAACCCCCCCCCAAAAAAAATCTTTAAATATACGAAGGAAAAAATGCCGTAAGAATTTTAGCCGTAAACAATATAATTTTTAAAGATAAAAAAAAAATCCAGACGACACGCTTTTAACGGATGTTAGATTTCATTGAAAATTACATCCCTACCCACTACCAAAACGTAGCAATAACTGATACATTAAAATATAGACATGTTGAACACCCAGACACCCCTGTCTAGCAAAATAGATTTATCTGTAACCTTGGAAACATGAATTTTGTTTTAGCTGTGTCTTTAAAACCCGGTAATTTTAAAAGTTACTCCAAAATTCGCTTGAGGATGAAATGGAACTAATGTCTTTAATTTAATTACAAAATTAAATTCGAGGCTTTTAGCTTCCATTTTTGAAACATGGTTAGTACTGTGTAGCGAAAAAACATATTTTAAATCAATTAATTTATAATATATATATATATATATATATATATATATATGTGTGTGTGTGTGTGTGTGTGTGTGTGTGTGTGTGTGTGTGTGTGTGTGTGTATGTTCCAATAATTTGGACCGATGTGAATTAAGTTTCTTTCTTTTTCTTACAGATTTGGCGGACATTTAGGCGATATTATTTTTAACACATAATTGCCATGACGTAAATAACATGATTCAATAGAGAAATAAATAAATTTTCACCAATAACAATGATTTATTTACTGCTGACTTTGATCCGTCTTAATGAAACACCCTTATATCTAATCCGTCTTAATGAAACTCCCTTCATTCATATATATATATATATATATATATATATATATATTGATGCATGTTTCATTAAATAATATAGACAGGTTTTGCCTATTTTAAGCAAATTCCTTTTCATATTGTCTGATAAGCTTAATGACATTATCATTGAAAGACGAAAGAAAATCACCATATTGATACATGTTTTTTAATCCTATCCATGCTTTCGGCTTACATAAGCCATCACCAGAGGTGACAAGTACATTACAATAAATTAAACAATACACGGTCATAGCAACAATAATAGTCTGTTTTGTTTGCATGGAAGATTTCCAACCAACGACAAGCTCACACCTATTTCTCTTCTCTGAAATTGCTAAATTTATAGATTTTATTCATGTGTTGAATTAGTATCTTCATCTTTGAATTTCTTTTTACTTATCATGTTTTGTTTTGTAGTAGTTTAAAGGGTGATAGGTAACTGTTTTCTATAACAGCTAAAAAAAGCTCGCCCAGGAATTTGAAAGAAAATGAATATATTAGCAAATGATTTTCAGAATGTAATTCTATGAAGTGACCAACAAGTGAACAATTTTGGGGCGTTCCTATGTCCTGTTGAAAATGGTCAATTAAAGAACACATTCCTGAGAATTATAGGCTTTTCTTTTTCCAGTCTCGCCTAAAAATTCTCACACGATCCCAAATTTCGGTACTCAATTCCGTAACCTTGTTTCACTGACAAAAATTGCCATATGAACCATAAACACAAAGGAATACAATATGAGCCTAAACCAGACAGAAACCATTTAACAAACAACAAAAATGACGACTAGAAGATGATTAGATTTCCAATATGTCTGCGATTTCCTTTCATCGAATTTAGCCACCCGCACCTAACAGCCGTATCTTGAAACCTCAATATGAATATTATATCTCCAATGAAGGCCATTTGGACATTCTTATCAGCTCCAAACGACCTGTGTTTATTTCAGGCTGCAATTAAAGCAAGCCCTCAAGTACCATCATCAACAGTAAGAAATACACATGCACTCGTCATCAGTGTTGCTTCGACCATATCACCGCAGGCGGTTGATCGAGCCGGGAGAAGAATTATTTGAGCCGCTATGGACAGGAGATTGCAATTTTATGCTGCGTTTTCTCCTCGTCATCCACCTTTCTTTCTCCTCCTTCTCCTCCAACTCCTCCTCCTTTTCTTCTTCTTCTTCTCTACTGGAATTGACCCTTCTCACGAGCCAATTGCTCTTTCTAACGTTTCACAATAACTATTTGTCCTTCGAAATGAGACTGTCAACATCATCATCATCATTTCCATGACCAGGTCTAGTGCTCAACTGAAACACGTGACCAGTTCTTTCTATATATTTGAAAGCCGGAGAGTTATTCACTCGTGGAAAGCGTTTCTTAGGTAAATCGAACTGCGGAAGCTCATCCCTCTCCAGGTCGAACCACAAAGGTTCGCTTTGGTTCCGGACATATGACTTTCATTCTATCTGTGGCCCCCACCCCTCAGGTTAATCTTTGACTCCGTCTAAGAATTCCTCTCTCTAGCTATACCACAATTCATCACAATGCATAACTATGGGGTGCAGTCATTGTACTAGATTACCTTTAAACCGACAAAAATTTTCATCAGCACTTTGAATATGATACAAAGGACACTCAGAAATTACCAATCGAAATTGTCATCATTTCTTTTTTTCTTTATATAGGTGGGGCGGGTATGAAAATTCTTCTGAGTAAGGAGGTTCTTGAGAAATCCTCCCAGAGCGCCAAGGCATTGCCAAATCCGGAGACAAACACTTTTCGTAGGGAGGTACATTTTCAGATTTAAGAGATCTTGGAAAAAAAGTATCTTGAACAAATATCAGGGTAGAATGTATTCTTTAATTGGGCCTTCTTGAGACTTCGCTGTTTTTGGTTCTTGAAAGATAGTGAGATATTGAAACGATCATTTCAAGAGGAAGTGAAAATATTTTACACGTAAAAGTTTTTCTATTTCCAGTCATGGGCTTTCTTTATATATATATATATATATATATATATATATATATATATATATATATATATATATATATATATATATATATATATCAATCTATCTATCTATCTATCTATCTATCTATCTCGGTTTCTTTCGTTTCAAACATCTATCCATCTATATCTATTCATCACTCATATGCACTCTGTTTTTATTTTAGTTTCAGACATCTTTCTTTTCTAGATACTCTCAATTTCGCTCATCTCCTTACCAAACACTACCTGTGTCTATACCGTTTCCTCCCTATTTTTTCTCTATATCTATCTCTTTCTCTCTCCCTCTCTCTCTCTCTCTCTCTCTATCTATCTATCTATCTATCTATCTATCTCACTTTCTTTCGTTTCAAACATCTATCTATCTATCTATCTATCTATCTATCTATCTATCACTCTTCCGTTTTATTTTATTTTCTACTTGCTATCACTCTCGTTCATCTTATTATCAAACACTATTTGTATCTATAGCGTTTCTGTCCTATTTTATCTATCTATCTATCTCACTTTCTTTCGTTTCAAACATCTATCTATCTATCTATCTATCTATCTATCTATCTATCTATCTATCTATCTATCTTCTTTTTCTTTCGTTTCAAACATCTATCTATCTATCTATCTATCTATCTCACTTTCTTTCGTTTCAAACATCTATCTATCTATCTATCTATCTATCTATCTATCTATCACTCTTTCGTTTTATTTTATTTTCTACATGCTCTCACTCTCGTTCATCTCCCTATCAAACACTATTTGTATCTATAGCGTTTCTGTCCTATTTTATCTATCTATCTATCTATCTATCTATCTATCTATCTCACTTTCTTTCGTTTCAAACATCTATCTATCTATCTATCTATCTATCTCACTTTCATTCGTTTCAAACATCTATCTATCTATCTATCTATCTATCTATCTATCTATCTATCTATCTCACTTTCTTTCGTTTAAAACATCTATCTATCTATCTATCTATCACTCTTTCGTTTTATTTTATTTTCTACATGCTCTCACTCTCGTTCATCTCCTTATCAAACACTATTTGTATCTATAGCGTTTCTGTCCTATTTTATCTATCTATCTATCTCACTTTCTTTCGTTTCAAACATCTATCTATCTATCTATCTATCTATCTCACTTTCTTTCGTTTCAAACATCTATCTATCTATCTATCTATCTCACTTTCTTTCGTTTCAAACATCTATCTATCTATCTATCTATCTATCTATCTATCTATCTATCACTCTTTCGTTTTATTTTATTTTCTACATGCTCTCACTCTCGTTCATCTCCTTATCAAACACTATTTGTATCTATAGCGTTTCTGTCCTATTTTATCTATCTATCTATCTATCTCACTTTCTTTCGTTTCAAACATCTATCTATCTATCTATCTATCTATCTATCTCACTTTCTTTCGTTTCAAACATCTATCTATCTATCTATCTATCTATCTCACTTTCTTTCGTTTTATCTATCTATCTATCTATCTATCTATCTCACTTTCTTTCGTTTCAAACATCTATCTATCTATCTATCTATCTATCTCACTTTCTTTCGTTTCAAACATCTATCTATCTATCTATCTATCTATCTCACTTTCTTTCGTTTCAAACATCTATCTATCTATCTATCTATATCTATCTATCTATCTATTTATTTCTATCATATCTCACTCTCGTTCATCTCGTTTCAAAAACATCTATAGCGTTTCTGTCTATTTATCTATCTATCTATCTATCTACTCTTTCTTTTTTCAAATTTTATTATCTATCTATGCTCTATCACTCTTTCGTTCATCTATTTTATCAAACTCTATTTGTATCTATAGCGTTTCTGTCTATTTTTCTGTCCTATTTATCTATCTATCTATCTATCTATCTATCTATCTCACTTTCTTTCGTTTCAAACATCTATCTATCTATCTATCTATCTATCACTCTTTCGTTTTATTTTATTTTCTACATGCTCTCACTCTCGTTCATCTCCTTATCAAACACTATTTGTATCTATAGCGTTTCTGTCCTATTTTATCTATCTATCTATCTATCTATCTATCTATCTCACTTTCTTTCGTTTCAAACATCTATCTATCTATCTATCTATCACTCTTTCGTTTTATTTTATTTTTACATGCTCTCTATCTCTCGTTCATCTCCTTATCAAACACTATTTGTATCTATATCGTTTCTGTCTATTTTATCTATCTATCTATCTCACTTTCTTTCGTTTCAAACATCTATCTATCTATCTATCTATCTATCTCACTTTCTTTCTTTTTTCAAACATCTATCTATCTATCTATCTATCTATCTCACTTTCTTTCGTTTTCAAACATCTATCTATCTATCTATCTATCTATCTATCTATCTATCTCTCACTTTCGTTCATCTCCTTTCAAAACTATCTATCTATCTTTCTATCTATTTATCTATCTATCTATCTCATCTATCTCGTTTCAAACATCGTTTCAATCTATCTATCTATCTATCTATCTATCTATCACTCTTTCGTTTTATTTTATTTTCTACATGCTCTCACTCTCGTTCATCTCCTTATCAAACACTATTTGTATCTATAGCGTTTCTGTCCTATTTTTTATCTATCTATCTATCTATCTATCTCACTTTCTTTCGTTTCAAACATCTATCTATCTATCTATCTATCTATCTATCTCTTTCGTTTTATTTCAAACATCTATTTTCTATCTATGCTTTCTTTCGTTTTATTTTATTTTCTCATGCTCTCGTTCATCTCCTTATCAAACACTATTTGTATCTATAGCGTTTCTGTCCTATTTTATCTATCTATCTATCTATCTATCTATCTATCTATCTTTCTTTCGTTTCAAACATCTATCTATCTATCTATCTATCTATCTATCTCACTTTCTTTCGTTTCAAACATCTATCTATCTATCTATCTATCTATCTCACTTTCTTTATTTTCAATCTATCTATCTATCTATCTCGTTATCTATCTATCTATTTGTATCTATTTTCACTTTCTTTCGTTTCAATCTATCTATCTATCTATCTATCTATCATCTTTCTTTCTTTCGTTTCAAACATCTATCTATCTATCTATCTATCTATCTATTTCTTTCTTTCCTTTCAAATTTTCTATCTATCTATCGTTCATCTATCTTATCTATCACTATTTATCTCTTTCGTTTCAAACATTTATCTATCTATCTATCTATCTCACTTTCTTTCGTTTCAAACATCTATCTATCTATCTATCTATCTATCTATCTATCTATCTTCATTTTTCTTTCGTTTCAAAATCTATCTATCTATCTATCTATCTATCTATCTATCTATCACTCTTTCATTTTACTTTTATTTTCGTTTCTGTCCTATTTTATATCTATCTATCTATCTCGTTCTTCCTTTTCAAACATCTATCTATCTATATCGTTTATCTGTCTATCTATCTATCTATCTATCTATCTCACTTTCTTTCGTTTCAAACATCTATCTATCTATCTATCTATCTATCTATCTCACTTTCTTTCGTTTCAAACATCTATCTATCTATCTATCTATCTATCTATCTATCACTCTTTCGTTTTATTTTATTTTCTACATGCTCTCACTCTCGTTCATCTCCTTATCAAACACTATTTGTATCTATAGCGTTTCTGTCCTATTTTATCTATCTATCTATCTATCTCACTTTCTTTCGTTTCAAACATCTATCTATCTATCTATCTATCTATCTATCTATCTCACTTTCTTTCAAACATTTCAAACATCTATCTATCTATCTATCTATCTATCACTCTTTTGTTTATTTTATTTTCTAATCATGCTCTCACTCTTTTTCATCTATCCCTATCAAACACTATTTTATCTATAGCGTTTCTGTCCTATTTTATCTATCTATCTATCTATCTATCTATCTATCTATCTATCTCACTTTCTTTCGTTTCAAAATCTATCTATCTATCTATCTATCTATCTATCTATCTATCTATCTATCTATCTCACTTTCTTTCGTTTCAAACATTTATCTATCTATCTATCTATCTATCTATCTATCACTCTTTCGTTTTATTTTATTTTCTATCTCTCACTCTCGTTCATCTCCTTATCAAACACTATTTGTATCTATAGCGTCTCTGTCCTATTTTATCTATCTATCTATCTATCTATCTTTCTTTCGTTTCAAACATCTATCTATCTATCTATCTATCTATCTATCTATCTATCTATCTATCTCACTTTCTTTCGTTTCAAACATCTATCTATCTATCTATCTATCTCACTTTCTTTCGTTTCAAACATCTATCTATCTATCTATCTCACTTTCTTTCGTTTCAAACATCTATCTATCTATCTATCTATCTATCACTCTTTTGTTTTATTTTATTTTCTACATGCTCTCACTCTCGTTCATCTCCCTATCAAACACTATTTGTATCTATAGCGTTTCTGTCCTATTTTATCTATCTATCTATCTATCTATCTATCTATCTATCTCACTTTCTTTCGTTTCAAACATCTATCTATCTATCTATCTATCTATCTATCTATCTATCTATCTATCTATCTCACTTTCTTTCGTTTAAAACATCTATCTATCTATCTATCTATCTATCTATCACTCTTTCGTTTTATTTTATTTTCTACATGCTCTCCTCTCGTTCATCTCCTTATCAAACACTATTTGTATCTATAGCGTTTCTGTCCTATTTTATCTATCTATCTATCTCACTTTCTTTCGTTTTTATCTATCTATCTATCTATCTATCTATCTATCTCACTTTCTTTCGTTTCAAACATCTATCTATCTATCTATCTATCTATCTCACTTTCTTTCGTTTCAAACATCTATCTATCTATCTATCTATCTATCTATCTATCTATCTATCTCACTCTTTATGTTTCAAACATCTATCTATCTATCTATCTATCTATCTATCTATCCTCTTTCGTTTTTATTTTATTTTCTACATGCTCTCACACTCGTTCATCTCCTTATCGTTTCAAACTATTTGTATCTATAGCGTTTCTGACTCTATTTTTATCTATCTATCTATCTATCTATCTATCTATCTCACTTTCTTTCGTTTCTTTCAAACATCTATCTATCTATCTATCTATCTATCTATCTATCTCATCTATCTTTCTTTCGTTTCAAACATCTATCTATCTATCTATCTATCTATCTCACTTTCTTTCGTTTCAAACATCATCTATCTATCTATCTATCTATCTACTTTCTTTCGTTTCAAACATCTATCTATCTATCTATCTATCTATCTCACTTTCTTTCGTTTCAAACATCTATCTATCTATCTATCTATCTCACTTTCTTTCGTTTCAAATATCTATCTATCTATCTATCTATCTATCTATCTCACTTTCTTTCGTTTCAAACATCTATCTATCTATCTATCTATCTCACTTTCTTTCGTTTCAAACATCTATCTATCTATCTATCTATCTATCTATCTATCTATCTATCTATCACTCTTTCGTTTTATTTTATTTTCTACATGCTCTCACTCTCGTTCATCTCCTTATCAAACACTATTTGTATCTATAGCGTTTCTGTCCTATTTTATCTATCTATCTATCTATCTCACTTTCTTTCGTTTCAAACATCTATCTATCTATCTATCTATCTATCTCACTTTCTTTCGTTTCAAACATCTATCTATCTATCTATCTATCTATCACTCTTTCGTTTTATTTTATTTTCTACATGCTCTCACTCTCGTTCATCTCCTTATCAAACACTATTTGAATCTATAGCGTTTCTGTCCTATTTTATCTATCTATCTATCTATCTATCTATCTATCTATCTCACTTTCTTTCGTTTCAAACATCTATCTATCTATCTATCACTCTTTCGTTTTATTTTATTTTCTACATGCTCTCACTCTCGTTCATCTCCTTATCAAACACTATTTGTATCTATAGCGTTTCTGACCTATTTTATCTATCTGTCTATCTATCTATCTATCTATCTCACTTTCTTTCGTTTCAAACATCTATCTATCTATCTATCTATCTATCTATCTATCTATCTATCTATCTATCTCACTTTCTTTCGTTTCAAAAATCTATCTATCTATCTATCTATCTATCTCACTTTCTTTCGTTTCAAACATCTATCTATCTATCTATCTATCTATCTATCTATCTATCTATCTCACTTTCTTTCGTTTCAAACATCTATCTATCTATCTATCTATCTATCTCACTTTCTTTCGTTTCAAACATCTATCTATCTATCTATCTATCACTCTTTCGTTTTATTTTATTTTCTACATGCTCTCACTCTCGTTCATCTCCTTATCAAACACTATTTGTATCTATAGCGTTTCTGTCCTATTTTATCTATCTATCTATCTATCTCACTTTCTTTCGTTTCAAACATCTATCTATCTATCTATCTATCTCTATCTATATCTTTCTTTCGTTTCAAACATCTATCTATCTATCTATCTATCTATCTATCTATCTATCTATCACTCTTTTTCTATTTTTATTTTATTTTCTACATCTCTATCTATCTATCGTTCATCTCTTATCAAACACTATTTCTATCTATCGTTTCTGTCCTATTTTATCTATCTATCTATCTATCTCACTTTCTTTCGTTTCAAACATCTATCTATCTATCTATCTATCTATCTCACTTTCGTTTTTCGTTTCAAACTATCTATCTATCTATCTATCTATCTATCTCACTTTCTTTCGTTTCAAACATCTATCTATCTATCTATCTATCTATCTATCTATCACTCTTTCTTTTATTTTATTTTCTACATGCTCTCCTTCGTTCATCTCCTTATCAAATCTATTTCTATCTATCGTTTCTGTCCTATTTTATCTATCTATCTATCTCACTTTCTTTCGTTTCAAACATCTATCTATCTATCTATCTATCTATCTATCTATCTATCTATCACTCTTTCGTTTTATTTTATTTTCTACATGTCTCTCACTCTCGTTCATCTCCTTATCAAACACTATTTGTATCTATAGCGTTTCTGTCCTATTTTATCTATCTATCTATCTATCTATCTATCTATCTCACTTTCTTTCGTTTCAAACATCTATCTATCTATCTATCTATCTATCTCACTTTCTTTCGTTTCAAACATCTATCTATCTATCTATCTATCTATCACTCTTTCGTTTTATTTTATTTTCTACATGCTCTCCTCTCGTTCATCTCCTTATCAAACACTATTTGTATCTATAGCGTTTCTGTCTATTTATCTATCTATCTATCTATCTCACTTTCTTTCGTTTCAAACATCTATCTATCTATCTATCTATCTATCTATCTCACTTTCTTTCGTTTCAAACATCTATCTATCTATCTATCTATCTATCTATCTCACTTTCTTTCGTTTCAATCTATCTATCTATCTATCTATCTATCTATCTATCTCTGCTCTTTCTTTCTTTCGTTTCAAACATCTATCTATCTATCTATCTATCTATCTATCTATCTATCTATCTATCTATCTCACTTTCTTTCGTTTCAAACATCTATCTATCTATCTATCTATCTATCTATCTATCTCACTTTCTTTCGTTTCAAACATCTATCTATCTATCTATCTATCTATCTATCTATCTATCTATCTATCACTCTTTCGTTTTATTTTATTTTCTACATGCTCTCACTCTCGTTCATCTCCTTATCAAACACTATTTGTATCTATAGCGTTTCTGTCCTATTTTATCTATCTATCTATCTATCTCACTTTCTTTCGTTTCAAACATCTATCTATCTATCTATCTATCTATCTCACTTTCTTTCGTTTCAAACATCTATCTATCTATCTATCTATCTATCTATCTCACTTTCTTTCGTTTCAAACATCTATCTATCTATCTATCTATCTATCTATCTCACTTTCTTTCGTTTCAAACATCTATCTATCTATCTATCTATCTATCTATCTATCTATCTCACTTTCTTTCGTTTCAAACATCTATCTATCTATCTATCTATCTATCTATCTATCTCACTTTCTTTCGTTTCAAACATCTATCTATCTATCTATCTATCTATCACTCTTTCGTTTTATTTTATTTTCTACATGCTCTCACTCTCGTTCATCTCCTTATCAAACACTATTTGTATCTATAGCGTTTCTGTCCTATTTTATCTATCTATCTATCTATCTATCTATCTATCTATCTATCTCACTTTCTTTCGTTTCAAACATCTATCTATCTATCTATCTATCTATCTATCTCACTTTCTTTCGTTTCAAAATCTATCTATCTATCTATCTATCTATCTATCTATTTCGTTTTTATTTTATTTTCTACATGCTCTCATCTCTCGTTCATCTCCTTATCAAACACTATTTGTATCTATAGCTTTTTTCTGTCTATTTCTATCTATCTATCTATCTATCTATCTCACTTTCTTTCGTTTCAAACATCTATCTATCTATCTATCTATCTATCTATCTCACTTTCTTTCGTTTCAAACATCTATCTATCTATCTATCTATCACTCTTTCGTTTTATTTTATTTTCTACATCTCTCTCTCGTTCATCTCCTTATCAAACACTATTTGTATCTATAGCGTTTCTGACCTATTTTATCTATCTATCTATCTATCTATCTATCTCACTTTCTTTCGTTTCAAACATCTATCTATCTATCTATCTATCTATCTATCTCACTTTCTTTCGTTTCAAACATCTATCTATCTATCTATCTATCTATCTATCTCACTTTCTTTCGTTTCAACATCTATCTATCTATCTATCTATCTATCTATCTATCTATCTATCACTCTTTCGTTTATTTTATTTTTATTTTATCTCTCACTCTCGTTCATCTCCTTATCAAACACTATTTGTATCTATAGCGTTTCTGTCCTATTTTATCTATCTATCTATCTATCTCACTTTCTTTCGTTTCAAACATCTATCTATCTATCTATCTATCTATCTATCTCACTTTCTTTCGTTTCAAACATCTATCTATCTATCTATCTATCTATCTATCACTCTTTCGTTTTATTTTATTTTCTACATGCTCTCACTCTCGTTCATCTCCTTATCAAACACTATTTGTATCTATAGCGTTTCTGTCTATTATTTATCTATCTATCTATCTATCTATCTCACTTTCTTTCGTTTCAAACATCTATCTATCTATCTATCTATCTATCTATCTATCTCACTTTCTTTTTTCAAACATCTATCTATCTATCTATATCTATCTATCTATCTATCTATCTTTCTTTCGTTCTAAACATCTATCTATCTATCTATCTATCTCACTTTCTTTCGTTCAAACATCTATCTATCTATCTATCTATCTATCTATCTATCTATCTATCTATCTATCTATCACTCTTTCGTTTTATTTTATTTTCTACATACTCTCTCTCGTTCATCTCTTATCAAACACTATTTGTATCTATAGCGTTTCTGTCCTATTTTATCTATCTATCTATCTATCTCACTTTCTTTCGTTTCAAACATCTATCTATCTATCTATCTATCTATCTATCTATCTATCTATCTATCTCACTTTCTTTCGTTTCAAACATCTATCTATCTATCTATCTATCTATCTATCTATCTATCTATCTCACTTTCTTTCGTTTCAAACATCTATCTATCTATCTATCTATCTACTCTTTCGTTTTATTTTATTTTCTACATGCTCTCACTCTCGTTCATCTCCTTATCAAACACTATTTGTATCTATAGCGTTTCTGTCCTATTTTATCTATCTATCTATCTATCTATCTATCTCACTTTCTTTCGTTTCAAACATCTATCTATCTATCTATCTATCTATCTATCTATCTATCTATCTATCTATCTATCTATCTCACTTTCTTTCGTTTCAAACATCTATCTATCTATCTATCTATCTATCTATCTCACTTTCTTTCGTTTCAAACATCTATCTATCTATCTATCTATCTATCTATCTATCTATCTATCTATCTATCTATCACTCTTTCGTTTTATTTTATTTTCTACATGCTCTCACTCTCGTTCATCTCCTTATCAAACACTCTTTGTTTCTATAGCGTTTCTGTCTATTTTATCTATCTATTTATCTATCTATCTATCTATCTATCTATCTATCTCACTTTCTTTCGTTGCGAAAAAATATTAGATTCTTGTTAAAATCTTCCTTCCTATTTACATTTCTTCTCATCTCAGTGTATTTCGTTCGTCTAGATCCATTTATAGTTATCTAGCTATCTAGTTATCTGTCTGTTAATCTGGCCTTCTCGTTAGCAACCTAAACCCTTTCCGATCTACATATCGATGTCAATCTCCTTTTTTTTCAATCCCTTTTTTGTTTACGTTTTTCAATCTTTCCTACAATCTTCACCAAATTATTCATCTTTTACACCCAATGAAAGGTAATCATAATTCTTGTCTCCATCCTTGCCATAAAACACCACCATTCTTACTAACAATACACGCTTTTAATCATCCTTTTCTTTTTTATCCAACTTGCAATGATATTTCTCTTACTTCGACATCATGTCATCTCGGCCACGAGTTTATATAAATATATATGCTTGATATGAAATATGTCTCTCGCCATATCTATCTATCTATCTATCTATCTATCTATCTATCTATCTATAAACACACACTCACACACACACACACACACACATATATGTATATGTGTGTGTGCGTGTGTATGCATCCGTTTCTCGCTCTCATTTTTTTATCTTCCTTTTTTTCTTCTCTTTCTTTGCTCCTTTCTCGCTTTCTTTTCTCCCTCACGACTCCTACCACGATGTCATGTATCGATTTCATACAGTTCTCCGTTTTCTCCCCCCATCCTGATCTCCGCCGTTTTCTTCTGCCAATGTCCGCAGGCCACGAAAGATGGCTACCGGTTGATTCCTGTCGTTACTCAATACAACCTCATGCATCTTTAAACTAGTGAATTACGCCCTGTCACATTGCTACCAGAATTTCGCTTTACCCAAATCGGGACTAGTAACAGCTTCATCATCATCATCATCATCATCATCATTAATATTATTATTAATATTATTATTAGTATTGTCGTTGTTGTTGTTGTTGTTGTTGTTATATGTTTATTACCTTGCCAAAGAGTACTTTTAAGTGCCCAATTACCAAATAGCCTCCGGGGTCTATGAGTAAAGATGACACCGTGGGAGAGTTATCAATGCTTGATATATATTTGGGACGTTTCCTTTAAATATAGGGGGTTTTGAGGATGATAAGTGCAGTTCGGCACAAAGTAGGACTGAAGTGCTGATGTGTCCAGGGATTTTACACACATGCTTTTCAGTGCCCCTGATCACCTACCCAATGTCCCTGCCACGAAAGGGATAATCGTACTTTTATTTCCATATTTTTGTTACTTCGATTTTCAGATCCTAATAATTTAACAGTTTTTGAAATTTCATTTTTTTTTTAAACACTGGAATCCTGTGGGCAATTCATATCAATTAGTTGACAGTTTCCTTTTTGAAATCATTTATAACTCTGTCTGGTCTATTTGCATCAAATTTACTGTCGCTGAGGTTTGGGAAATTCGTGGGTATAGTCACTACATCACCACTTGTGACTTCATTCGGGTACTTTTGGTGCCATATATGCGGGACTTCAATCCCGTAGTTCGAAAAGACATGGCATTGAATATATCGACCTAACATGTCATGTCTAATAATGTAATCTTTCTCAGCTGGCACTGTGCACCCTGATGCTATTAACTATTATTATTCCTATTTATTTATATAATTTATTATTATTATTATTATTATTATTACATCGTTTTCTGCAATGGTCACGCTACCTACCAAGTCTTTGGGAAGACCTAATGCAAGTAGTGGTGTACTGTTATGGCTACATTTCATGATTTTTTTTTTTTTTTTTAACTTACTTACTCTAGCGTTACATAGATAAGGTTCTTCTTAGTGTGTGAGCTGTATAATATAAGTATAATTTTTTTGTATTTCTTTAAAGCTTGGGCTACCAGGAATCACTTCAGTGTGTATACTGGAACATTTTCCAATCAAACCGAGGTCTCCAACTACAACTGGAATTGGTAATGTCTTCATGCGCCACATTCTTGAAAGTTCGTTTTCAATGTCCTTGTACATCAAAGATCCTCAAGGCTACATTACAGTATTATTATTATTATTATTATTATTATTATTATTATTCGATTTCTGCTATAGTCACGTTATTTACCAAGTCTGCGGGATGACTAAAGACAGGTACTGATTATGTCTATATTTCATAATTGTTTTTTTCTAATTCCCGTAACATCACCAGCGTTACATGAATAAAGTTCCTGTTAGTCTGTGGGATGTACTTATCGCAACAATTTTTTTCGTATTTCCCTTGAGCTGGGATTTCCAGGGAATTTTTCAATGTGTTGCTCTGTTCCTTTGTTTTTGATCATTCCATGCGTACCTACTATGATTGGTACTATTCTTGTTTTCAATTTTTACAATTTTTTCTATTTCGATATCCAGGTCCTTATACTTCGATAGTTTTACAATTTCCATCGTTACTATATTACTATCTGCTGAGCAATCCATATTAATTAGTAACCGAGTTTTATCTTTTCGGTTTTTAACAATTATGTCCGACCCGTTTGATTTAGTCTTCCTGTCTGTAAAGATGGTGTAATCTCAAGGAACTGTGATGTCTTCTATTTCTGTAACCGGTTTATTATTATTATTATTATTATTATTATTATTATTATTATTATATTTGCTTTGGTTTCTGGTGTATACTCATTTCTTTCCGGGTCCCGACCAGAAACCTAAGGTCAGAAATGGCATAATGCATTTTCCACTAAACAGTTTTGAAAAAAAATCTCACATATTTTACAAAGATTTCAAGGCCCTTGTATTTTGATAGTTTTTTGAAAACTTTCAAAGATATATTGCAGTCTGCAGGGACTGACATGCCAATAAGGAGGCACATTTTGTCTTTACGGTCTATAATCAAGGTAAGTATGCTGTATTCCATCTCCGTCGTTATTTTCTAGGTATCGATAGGCTTCTTGTTCCATTTCTTAACCTTTGTACCAAAACTTGAATCTATGAGTGTGTTTCTGTAATTCTCCCTTTCTCAATTAACTTTGATTGTCCTGTCTGCGTGTATTTTAACGTCCCATAAAATTGTTACAGGCCCTATCTCCGTAACCGGGCCTAGGTGGTGTTTATACCAATTAATTGCAGCTTTATTTCATAAAAGTTGCATATTTTCCAGTGAAGATATTGGCCCACTCTGTCGTACCGTGTTTTATGTTCTCAACCTGATATAAAATGGCCAATTGTTTCTGGATATTTATCACACAATCTGCATTTTGGGGCTTACACAATTTTTCAGTATATGTGCTTGGTAATTTTTAGTCCTGTGCAGCAAGAATTAAAACTTTCAGTTTCAGCTTTTAACCTTGCACTCCATAGCCACTGATGTGTACGGGGTTTGTCTACATCAGCTTGTTTGATACGGGCAGAGTATTGGCCGTGAAGAGGTTTATCTTGCCATCGTTTCTGTATCTGGTCGGTTGCATTTGCCTTTGCTCTCTTTAAGTATTTTGCAGCTTCAATCAGTGTATTGTGCTTTACTTTAATTTATTCACCCATTTGAAACTCTATTTCGGACTTGTTGGCTTCCTTTATTACTGAATAATGTGACGTACTACTTTCCTGTCCTTTGACCCATATCATAATCCAGTCTTCTGTAGTTTCCAGGTATCTGTGAAGGCCAAGTTTTGTAGTTTTGTAAGACATTTCTAGTTGTACTAATGCTCTTCCTGCCTCGGATCTATACACATACAGACGATCAACATCAACCTTGAGATGATGCATGCAGTGGCAGGTGAGAAGCTTTCTCGCTTTGGCGTCCATTCGCTTAATGGTCCAGTTAAGAATGTTGAAACACTATTGCACCACAGGGACAGCTAAGGCGTTTATGATAGATATTCTGTTTTTTGAATTCAGCTTGGTGTTCATTACCAGATGCACCCGCTACTAGTACTTCTTTCTTACGTTCTCCTTCATTTGGGTAAGCTGTATTCCATCTTCTTCGCTAATTCCTAGGTACCTATAGTCTTCTTGTTCCATTTCCTTAATCTTTGTGCCAAAATCTAAATCTATTCAGTGAATTTCTGTAATTCTCCCTTTCTTGAATGTTAATTTTTACACATTTATCTAATCCGAAATTCATACCTATTTCGTCACTGAAACATTTTACAGTATTGAGGAGGCCCTTCGACTCATTGTCGTCTTTGTCAAAGAGTTTGAGATCATACATGTTGAGCAGATGATTAAGTACTTTCTTGTTTAGTTTGTAAACATGACTATTATTGTTTAGTTCATTGATAAGGGGGATTAATGACATAAAAATAGAAAGGATGACGGGGATTCTCTTTGAAAGATTCTTCGTCGGATATTCATTCGGTTGGTGATGACAGCGCCTCTGGTGTGATTTAGGTATAATGTGCTTTTCCACATTCCCATGCTGTGTTTAAAGAAATTTACTATCGTGGTGGTGGGGGGATACTTTCTATATTTCCAAAGTTTTAAATATCCAAGAGCGTGGCACACTGTCAAAGGCTTTACGATAATCTATCCATGCTGCGCTTAGATTTCTACATCGTCTCCTGCAATATTCCAGGATCATTTTGTTTATCCGTAGTTGATCTTTGCAACCATATGAACCTCTCATGCATCCCTACTGTTCCAGTGGAAGAATATTGTTTGCTTCGAGAAAAGAGTAAATACAATTCGTCAAGACAGACACGATCACTTTATATGTGGTGGACAGACATGTTATTGGCCTATAATTTTCAGGGTCATTTGTTTCACTTGTTTTTGGCATGAGATATGTAATACCTTCAATAATCCATTCCAGGATTTCATTGGGATTAATAAGCATTGATAGAGTTTATACACAGGTTTTATAGATTGATGAGAGATGAAAGAGCCCGAAATTGGACACCTTGTCATTCCCTGAGGATTTCCATTTTTGGGGATTTCGTTAGAGCTTGCCTACCATTATTCGTAGTTATATTTTCCCACTCTTGTAGAGGTTTATTCAGGATTCATTCTTCTTCACGTTGGATCCATTCTGCATTGGGGTTATATTCTTTTGGGTTGCGCCAAATATTC